CCTTGTGGAGAAGGTTAAGCGTTCTTCCAAAACATCCCACATATCCACCTGATTCCAGGCCAGTCCAGAAGAGGTTTCAGAACTCAAATATAAAATGTGAAGCGAACTGCTTATGTCCAGCCCGGGCACCGGACTTATTTGCTGACTGGAGACTTCTGAGCTCTGCTCTCCTTTGACACCTCTCCTTTCCTCAGGACTCTTTCCCATTCAATTCCCTGCCTGCTGATGATCTCCTGAAGGGGCCTCTAGCATGCCACTGCTCCGGAACTTCACTGAACAGTTCCTATGTCTGCAGGGCAGGGGTATTCTTTTCATTGTACTCTTCTGTCCCCACCCAACAGCACAGTTCTTTGCATGTCATTGATGTCCCATAAATGTGGAAATTAGAAAGAACGCTATGCTGGGAATCAGCTATCACACATCCAAGTGGTGATGGAGGTCAAGGGTTGAGAGATCATCCAGAAGGATGCAAGGGGTCTAGGTGGTAGGAGGAGGGGTAGGTTGGGGAGGAAAAAACTAAGAAGGGATAATTGGGTACAGGGGTTCAAGAATGAAGACAGCAGAGATCTTGGGAAGTGTGGACTTGGAGAAGGGGTTGATCAGCTTGGTAGGGTCAGAGAACTCCAAAGCGGGCTGAGGTAGACCTTCTGGAAGATTCCTTGATTCCCTTCTTTGTCTCCCCCTTCATATTCAATTCTCCAGAGAATTCCATTGAATCTACTTTCAAAATGCTTCCATACTCCACCTACTTCTTCCATACTCCCCTCCACACTCCACTAGGGTTGTGGATCTCCACCACCCTAGTCCTGGTCATCTCTTACCTGCATGACTGCAAAAGCCTCCTATTCAGCATCTCTCCCTCACTCCATCTCCTATGCTTCCCCAGCAGCCAGAGTGGTCCAAACTGCTTCCCAGCCTATGAAGTTCTACAGGATTTGGCCTCTGTGGCGTCTCTGATTACCTTCCTCTCTCTCCTTTCACACTGTTTCAGACGTATTAACACGTCTTTTATTTTATGAATATGTTAAGAGGCTTTGCACTTGCTCTTCCCTAAGCTTGGAATACTCCTCCTCCAGAAATCCCCAAGGCTCACTACTGCTAATTAGGTCTCTGCTCAATTGTCACCCCCTCTTAGAGGCCTTCCCTGACCACTGTGTAGAACAGAATCCCTCTCCCCACCCCACCCCACCCACACAAGCACACACTATTCCTTTTCCCACTTTTCTTCAGAACACACGTCACATTATTTTTATTTAGTTTTTTCAATGTTTGTTTTCTTTTTTTAGTTTAAAAATTTTTAAATTATTTTTATTTATACATATTTATAGGGTACAGAGTTGACTATCAGTATTTGTGTACATTATTGAACACACGTGACATTATGTTATACATTTGTTTCATTGTTTCCCACTGGCATAAAAGCTCCATGAGAGTAGAGACTTTTTTGATAGTAGATACTCAATAAACAAACGAAGGAGTCTAGCAGACAAAAACTGAGAGATGCCAGAGTCATGGTTGTTTTGGTGGAAAGAGGGAATATTTAATACACAAGAGGAGATTTTCAATTAAACACTTTGAATTCAATTCAATTAAAGTATTTATAGTGCAATTACTATATGCATATCAAATGCCAAGAGTTGTTTGGGATAAATGGTAATTAAAAGGCAGACTCTGCCTCAAAGAATTTACTGCCAAGAGGAAGGGGAGAGGGAAAATAAGAACCTCCAATTATCTTTGTATCCCCAAAGCATGATCCTCTTTGCCCTACACACTAGGGGTATTATTATTATTTTTTGTATAAGTGAATATCAGTATGAGTGTACTTCAAAAAGTTCATGGAAAGATTCATATTATCTTTTAATTCTATTTTTAAGTGAACTTTTTGAAGTACTCTGGTATACCCCTTCACTACATCCTTTTGCTGTTATACTGTCCAAAAGGGTGAAAAACATCTTACAAACACACAGCCCCTTTCTGAATTCTGAACTTCACCCTTCTATCCCCAACTCGCACCGATGGCTTTTTGGACACCTTCACCTGGATGCCTCTGGGGCATCTCAAATTCAATGCATCCAACCTTATCCTCTGTATCCTGATCTCAGCTGTTGAGGTTGGAACTGTTTTTTTCCTGCCCCTTTCCTCACCCTCAACCTGGCATTCCCTGGAGCCCACCTCCTGATATCAAGGGGACCTACTTATTTCTCCCCCTCTCTGTTGCTACTTCTGTGGTCCTGGTCATCACCATCTCTTGTCTGGATTTTCAGTGACATCAGCCTCACCCCCCTCACCCTCCTGTAGAACTCCCTTCCCATCTGTTCTCCACACCTAGGCCAGAGTGGTCTTTCTAAAATGTACAGTTGATAACTATACTCCCCTATTCAAAACCTTCAGGGGCTTCCCTGTTGCTCCGGGCCAAAGTCCAAATCCCTTAACACACCATACAAAACCCTCCAGGTTCTGGCACCTGACTCCTTCTGAACTCATTTCATGCCTCTTGCTTCTTACAGTCTAGTTTGGGCCCAGCAGATTTCTGATCTTCTAACTGGGCTACTCTCTCTCCCCTCTGGGCCTGCAGAGTTGCTCTTTCCAAGCTCTGTGATTCCTTACCTTCCTCTTGCCTCTTCCTCTGGGACCTCCTTCTGCTCCTTGGCATTCTTCCTAGTTTTCATTCTTTCTGAGAAGTCTTCCTGGAACCTGATCTGACCAAGCCACCCTCCGCCTCGTCCCTCCCCCAGATAACACAGGGTTGGGGCCCTGGCACTTGCTTTCTCAATATTCTGCACTTTCCTCATCATACCTGTTTTATTGTCTGTGTCCCCACTAGATGAAATCTCCATGAGGGCAGGGCTGTCCATTCTGCCTAAGTGCCTTGTAGCCGTGTCTACCCAGCACAGTTGTGTGTGTTGGCAAAGTATTGAATGAATGAAAAAGCACTTGCTTGGATAGGACTGTTCCTCATAAAATAATAATAGCTTGTTTACTGACTGCTTGTAATGTATCAAGCACCATTCTAAGTACTTTACAACTATGTCATGCGCATCTCACATAACCCTAACAGAGGGGTTATCGCCCCATAAAACAGATGGGGAAATTGAGGGCACGGAGAGGTTAAGTAACTCGGCCAAGGTCCACAGCTAGAAAGTGGAGGAACCGGTGTCAGAACCCAGGCTGTTTCCAGGGTCTGAATTCTAGCCTAGAGTGAAGCGTAGTATGGGGTCCGACTGCAGGAACAGATTCGAGTCTCCGACACCGGGCTTTGTTTTTGTTTGCGGTGGAGAGGACGCGCTCCCGTGCCGCCCTCTTCGCGGCTCCGGGGTCCTTTGCGGGGCGGTGGGAAGGGCCTGTGCGTCTCGCTGGCGGCCCCGGAGGGTGCGTGCGAACCCCTGATTAACTTTCCGAGCCCGGCCCACACGCCGCATCCGTCCAGCTCCCCGGTGCCCGCGGCGGGTCCCAGGGCGGCAGGAGGGGGCGGGGCGG